TAAAAACCAATTGACAATGAGTAGGGTGGTCCTTTTATCTTATAAACAGGTCTCAGATCTTGAGCACGGGCGATGTAGGATTCTTTTTCCAACACCCTCCCTCAAGCTCAATGGAGAGTTTACCCATGGGCTTGCAATAACAAGAACGAGAAACCGCCCATAATTCATAGCCCAATGGCTCGGAGAAAGGATTGAAAGCCGCCTTGGGTCGAAACCCAAATAAGTTGGAGAAAGAAGTCAACGCCGTCCATGAGTCAAAGCTCAAAATGGGTCGGTCAGACTCTGCCTGTAAATCAATTTGTCCATTCGAGTACCCAATGGGCTTGCAATAACAAGAACAAGAAACCACCCATGGGTCGGAGAAAGGATTGAAAGCCGTTTATGGGTCGAAACCCAAATAGGTCGGAGAAAGAAGTCAACATCGCCAATGAGTCAAAGTTCAAAATGGATCGGTCGGACTCTGCCCGTGGATCAATTTGTCCATTCGGGTCAGTCAAGAGAAATAGAAGAAACATAATATAAAGCACAATCTGTGGGCTGGCTCTGATACCATATCAAAATACTTGGGCTCCCATCTCAAAACCAATTGGTAATTAGTGGGTTGACCCTTGTAACTTATAAACAGGTCTTTAATCTGAGCACGGGGGATGTGAGATTCATTTCCCAAACAGTTTTCCTCAAAAATACTTTTGCAAGCGAAAAAAAGATCATTCACAGAGTTCATTTTAAATATACACGGGAGGCTACCAAATTGATCGTCTAAATACTGAAAGGCCAAATTTTAATATTGTATGATTGATTAATAATACTTTTCTTCAAGAATTCATCCCCACTTTGCAACTTCATTTGATTGGTTAACAGTCACTCATTAGTTCAAACTTCAAAATTTATGAAATATTGCTCAACATTGACAATGGAATTAGTGAGTAGTATTAACGCTACTGATTTTTACTTGTACCCAAATCACACTCGCAAATCATTATATATATTAAAGGAAAGAAAGATAATCGCCACGTGTCGCTCATTGAGACCATCAAATCTCAAATAACACGTGTCATTTACTAATTGGTTGATCATTAATCAGTTAAAATTTTTTGTAAACAATTAATAAATTATTTACTACTCCCTCCGTCCCATAATTCAATTTAATAAAAAATCTTGTCCTAAAAAAATAGTCCAGTTTAACAAAAGTCAAAATTCATTGAATTGAAATTTAAATATCCAAATGAGTAGTGGTATGAAAAACAAGGTCCACTTCCTTTGATTTTCATATTTTTTAGTTTTCTCTCATTTTTTCAAATGATTATATCTTTTAACACATGAATAATTAAAAAATATATTATATATCAAATTAATCTATCTAATGAAATATTTCCATCAAGATCATCTCAAAAAATTTTGATCAAATGTAAGTTGTAAAATAAATGCATATGTAATTAACTTTTATAAAAATAACTAGAAGGGGCATTAGTGGAAGTTAGTGGAATAAAATGAGTTGTACATTTGGTGTGTTGACCAAATTAAAAAATTATACAGTTTCAAACCGGACTATTTTTGTGGGACAGAGAGAGTATATAAGATTTTTACAAATATTACAAATTCCTGATTGTGAGCTTGAAAGAATATTTTTGAAAATTGCTGAGAAACTCCCGACTTCAAAAGTCTTTTCATTTACGAGTTTAAAATTTTAACCTATTGTCTTTTTGGCCCTTAAAGTTCTATTTGTGTGCTATTTAGTTTTCAAGTTTATCGATTTTATATTTTCAAGGACGATTAATTGTGTCTCATATTTTATTAGAACTACATCTAATCCCCAAAGTCCACTTGCCTATAAAAATAGGTCATATGCATCTAGATATAATTTACGTATTTTTTAAATATATTTTTTAAACCAAACATAACATTAGTTAGTGGTGACAATTTTTATTATATAACTTTTGAAAATCTTTTGTAATATTTTTTACCAGATCTTACAAATATACCTCTCATAAATAATATCAATACCTCTCATTTTGATCTAAAACTGATTAATCAAAAAAATATTACAGTTTTAATAAATATTAGTAACTACATTTTTTTTAAGAGAATAAGGATGGTATATTTGTAACTACATTATCTAATCAATTCTTTTGAAATATAAATTTTCAACATTGACAAAGCCGCGCCAAGCGCGGGACACACACTAGTCATTATCTATATTAAAGGAACGAAGGATAACCGACACGTGTCGCTCATTGAGACCATCAAGTCTCAATTAACACGTGTCATTTGCTAATTGGTTGATTATTAATCAGTTAAAATTTTTTGTAAACAGTTAATACATTATTTACTACTCCCTCTGTCCCACAAAAATAATCTAATTTAATAAAAAATATTGTCCTAAAAAAATAGTCCAGTTTAACAAAAGTCAAAATTAATTGAATTGAAATGATTTAATTATCCAAAAGAGTAGTGGTATGAAAAACAAGGTACACTTTCTTTGATTTTCATTTTTTTTAGTTTTTTCTCATTTTTTCAAATGATTATATCTTTTAATACATGAATAATTAAAAAATGTGCTATATATCAAATTAATCTACGTAACGAAATCTTTCCATTAAGATCAATTGTCAATATTTTTTGAGATAAAAATTTTTATCAAATTTAAGTTGTAAAATAAATGCATATGTAGTTAACTTTTATAAAAATAACTAGAAGGTGTCTTAGTGGAAGTTAGTAGAACGAAATGAGTGGTACATTTGGTGTGTTGACCAAATTAAAAAAGTTGTATAGTTTCAAACCGGACTATTTTTGTGGGACGAAGGGAGTATATAAGATTTTTACAGATATTACAAATTCCTGATTGTGAGCTTGAAAGAATATTTTTGAAAATTGCTGAGAAACTCCCTACTTCAAAAGTCCTGTTCATATACGAGTTTAAACTTTCAACCTATTGTCATTTTGGCCCTTAAAGTTCGATTTGTGTGCTATTTAGTTTTCAAATTTATCGATTTTACATTTTCAAAGACGATTAATTGTGTCTCATATTTTATTAGAACTACATCTAATCCCCAAAGTCCACTTGCCTATAAAAATAGGCCATATGCATCTAGACATAATTTACACATTTTTTAAATATATTTTTTAAACCAAACATAACATTAGTTAGTGGTGACAATTTTTATTATACCACTTTTGAAAATCTTTGTTGTAATATTTTTTACCAGATTTTACAAATATACCTCTCATGAATAATATCAATACCTCTCATTTTGATCTAAAACTGATTAATCAAAAAAATATTACAGTTTTAAGAAATATTAGTAACTACATTTTTTTAAAAGAATAAGGACGGTATATTTGTAACTACATTATCTAATCAATTTTTTTGAAATATAAATTTTTAATATTGATGCCGCACAAAGCGCGGGACACACACTAGTAGTAGATAGGAAAAAGAATATCCATCTCGGCAACCCTTTCATGAATTTGACATATGAAAAAGAGTATGTAGACTTTTATGGGTTCTAACCACCACTCAAATATTTTTTTTCGAAATTTAAAATCAATGTGGTAAGTGTTAGTTTTCATGTAAGTTTTAAAATTTGAACGAATGTGCACAAACTACCACTGACAATAACGTACTAGAGGCATATTCATAATTTCTCAATTTTATGTAGAGTGTCTTATGAAATTCAGACAGAAAAGTTCCAAAAGAAAACTCCAAATTAAAATAATGGTTGGGCAGAACTTTTTCGAGGATGAAATGGATATTTAATTATTATTAGATTTAAATGGGGGTGCTACTTGTCATAATTAACAGCGCTATATACCATTATAAAAATTGTGTAGATTTTAAAATCTGTTATGCGCAGCAGCGCAAGCACTTCAACCTTTAATTTATCAAGAAGAATTTTCATCATAAAGTAATATTGAGAATTTCCAACAATTTTTATCATATGATTCTTTGTAAGTGCGCTTCCTGTGTACTACGTATTTGGGGAACTCTTTCTTGTAGTAATAGAACTAATATTTGAAATCACAATTTAAACTGTTTTAAATTAGAGTCTGATGAGTCCTTTTTAAAGATCTCTGGCTCAATAAGTATTTTATTCCCAAATACGTGACCATATCAAGGTTAGAATCATATGTAATTATACAATTAATTCTTTTACCACTAACTAGGACAATTGTATCAGTTCTTCCCTTCCCACTATTGCACTGCTCATAATAGTTCTAGAGCATTTATTTTACAAATTATTTTGTGGATGAACGAAAAGTTTAATATATTAAAGGGAAATGACCCGACTATCTATTGAAACAGTATTTACTGCTATAGGACACAATATTTCTATTTCTGTCTCGAAAAAATAATTTACATTAATTTTTTATTTTTATACTATTTTTAATAAAAATTTCAAAACTCAAAGTAGATTTTTTTTTTAAGGACGGAGGGAGTATTCACTGTATTTTTGCTAGGAAAAACTACTCGTAGATCATGTATGTAAGATACGATTTTTATTAGTAAACCGATTTACTCTATGAACTTTGAAAATTTTTAATTGCAATTGCTTTTACACTATTCTGGTTTCTGAAAAAGACTAACTGAAAATGATGGCAGCAAGTGGGATCACATCAATGACGCTCTGACACTGACCCGTTGCCTGCTTTTACCCGCCTAAAGCCTTTCACTTCAACTTTCTTTTGTCCAACACCCACCTCCCCCGTCTTCTCTCCTTTTTTTGTTAATTAAGAAATCAAATAATGAAGCCATTTTTAGGTTCTTATATTAGCTTACGTATTAATTCTAAAAACTGCAAATGGAACCCTTTTCGAACTTGGATTGTTTTTATCAATCTTTTTGTGTTTTCCGAAAAAAATTTCTGCACATTTCACAAACACCTCGACGCCAAATCCGCTCATGTTAGTTCTTCCTACTTCTTAGTTCTTAGAGAGATTCATCGTACAGAAGAACAATTTGACAACATTGAAGAGAACGAAATCTAATTAACAACACAAAATTCAAAAGTACAATTAGCATGAGCCTAATATGATTACCCGTTACGAAATGATGCGGAAGAATTCGCAAACAAAAATTTTAAGTAAGAAAAAAAAAAAGAATAAAAGAACAATTGAACCAATCAAATAAATTTCTGCATCTCGTCATAATAAATAAATGCATTAAAAGTTGATTTTTTTTTCCCTCCTAATTTAGCTTCTATTCCTTCCTTCCTGTTGCTGCATTCTACCCAGATTTACAAAGCCTACACTAATTTTCATCGACAGCATCTAATTTCTAATCTGGGCCCAGCCAGAACCTTCTGCTTTTACAAAGCGGGCAAAGATTCCGGCCTCCAGGCCAAGTCCGAAAATTCCGACCCGTCAGCGTAATCAAACAGCCCATCAACGGTAACGAAATCGCCGTTTCCGTTTTCGCCGTAATTCTGCCCGTCGGGTACTCCATCCTCCATTCCGAAGTCGAATGAGCCATAACAGGGCAACTCATCCTGAAACCCAACCATATCTCCGATTCCGTCGACGACTGCCTCATTAGAGACGGCCGGATTCATGGGCTGGTTTTCCGATGAGTCACCGGAGACGGCGACGGTGGGCGGAAGGCCCAACTCATCGTCAGATGCTTCCAGAAGGTAGCCGAGGTCAGGCTGTGTCTCGCCGGGAAATGACGTCATCTCGCCGTCCGCCCGGTGGGAAAGGGAAGGCGACAATTGAAGTATCTCCTCCTCGAAGCTTCTGATAACAGAGTCAAGGTCCTGAGCGTCCGGCACCGTCTCCGGCTCGTCGAGAATATCCAAAATGTCTTCCCGGAACTTCACAACCTCCGGCGAGGCAGCCGACTCCTCCGCATCCCCGGTTTCGTTTGATTCCACAGAGTTATCACCGTAATCAATCTGACAGACCTCCGACACCGGCGAGTCACACCGGGCCGAGTCAAGATTCGCCTCCGGTTCGACTCGGTCAGACTCGGGCGGGAAATCTAGGCATGAATCCGTAGCAACATTAAGCCGCTTAGACTCGGGGGAAACAGAATCAAACTCAGTTGAGTCATCTTCATCTTCCCAGTTTCTTTTCTTGCTAACAACGTTAGTAATAATATTATCATTACTTTCGGCAACGCTAACTTCCATTATGAACTAAAATAAACTTGATAAATGATAAGGCCGTGTTTGGATGGAGGTAAAATAAGGTCCTTTAAAAAAAACAAAAGGATGGGATAATAAAGAAAGAGAGTATTGTCAAGCTTGACTCTAGTGAAGAGAGAGAAGGAAATGAAGGGCTTAATATATAGTGCAAAAAGGTAAGAGACAAAGGAGGGATGTGAGGATCTTAGACCAAAATAAGTTGTGGGAATGTTGTTGGGGATGAGATGGAGAAAGAAAAAAAAAAAACTGAAAAATCAAACCTAGCCAAGTCACAAGAGAGAGATAATTAAGGAGAAAAAATATTAAAATAATAAAAAAGAAAAAAGAAAAAAACTTGGTAATGACTTGTTTGCTTTGTTAGTTGGAGGAAGATGGAAAGAAAAGATGGTATATGTGTGTGTGTGTGTCCACTTTGGAGAAATGAGATGAAGGAAAATGAAGGGTAGATGGATTATATAGTTGGGGGGAAAAGGAGAGAGAAACAAATTGATAAGAAATGACACTAAAGTTAAAAAAAGGAAAGAGAAAATAAACACCAAAAGATGAGTTGTTGGTTGAGATGAAAGATAAGGAAAATAGGGATGGCAAAGAATATGGATTTTTTTAAAAATGTTTTATTGTTTGGGTCAAGGTTTGATGAATAATAAATGAGATAAAGGAATTTCTTCTTTTATCTTTTCTATGGTGAAATAGATGGATGAATGATGATGTATGGATGGATGGAGTGGTGGAATCAGGATTGGGGGGTTGGGTGGTTTAGAGAGAGATTTTTTTACAAAAAAAAATAGAAAAATGTATGTGTATGTGATTAATAATTTAATCAAAAGTAAGGGGCCCAGAGAGAGTGGGGCCCATGGGGCTGCTGAGTGCTGAAAAGGAAAGATGTGGACAGGCGCGTGTTTGGCGGATTCTCAAACACATACACACACACACACACACACAATCCACCCCATCACGTTTCACGGACATCTTGCCTTTTTTCAAAATATTTTAATTAATTAAATTTTTTTCTATTTTGATTACTTTTCTTTACGTGGGTTTTAATTCTCTTTTTTTCTTTTTTTTTTTTAATTTCTGTCCCTTCCACTTTTTTTAAAAATTATTGTCCACTACTAACAACTACGTTTGAAGTCCGCATTTGAAATCCGGTATCCCCGGACCCACAGGTTTCGGAGATAAATGTGCGGCTTGCTTTTGGACTAGGCGCTTCTAGGCTTTTTCTTTTTTTCTTTTTTTTTTTTTGTCATTCATCAGCTGGCTTGATTTTTTCCCACTCTTTCACGGCTTCAGTGGGTGGACTGTTTGATTTTTTTGAACCGGTTTTAAGATTGGTAAAGAGGATTTTCAGGACAGTAAAAAAAATAGGATTTTTTTATTTGACAGCTTCTGTCTTTCGGTGAATTCGTTCTTGCATTTTTCCTTCGTTTTGAGGATTTGGTAAAACTTGACCGCGTCTACATTTTCGTTTCTGGTAATTATTGTTCTTACGGATTTCTTTTTCCCTGACCAAACTAATTAATATTTGACAAAGTAAAAAATAAACAAGTTGATGAAGTTAATAATTAAATTAGCTGGCAGTAAAGAAATTGTCCACATTATTATCAAGTATATTCCATTTTTTTGGTCAAAAGGGAAATACAGCATGCTAACTAGGAATGATGATTTAACTCTTAATAGAACTGAATTCTTAGCGATATTTTCTCACCATCCTTCTTCGTTCTCAAATGATCGACAGGTTATTGGTTTTATTGTAAACTAACTAATTCAAGGAACAAATTAATTAAGACAGATAAAATAATTAGTGTAAATTTGAATGTCATGATGAAAGTCATTCTAAAAGGATTATTTAACTTTGGTTAATCGATCTTTATCACCACTTCCATAATTAATTATATGCTTTTCCTTAGGATAATGAAATTTTAAGAGCAACCCAACAATTTTTCCTGTTTATTAGCATGTAGCTTTCTTTTTTTGCAAGAAATCAGATTAGGTGGTTGGTGGTTTAATTTTTTCTTTAAAACAATTTATAATACTCCACTTTTAGTCTTTTAGGTACAGCATGTCGCCATTTTTGGTATATAATCCGTTGGCTAGCTTGCTAGTAGTTCTCCACTTATGGGTCCGCACCATCCAGACAATATTGTAATGTAAAATGACCACTACATTTTTTCTCGTATTCTGATTAATAAAATACTACTAACATTGAACTGGTTTTAAGAACACAAGTGCTAGCATTTATTAGAATATTTTGTGAAGCATATGTGTAAACAATTGCACAACTTGATTCAGCATTTCAACTTAACATTATTTCTCAATCCCACGACCAATTTGCTTGTTACCTAGGGTGGTTTTAGTAGGATGGATATGGAAGCTCTTTACGACGGGTTCAATTATTGCATGCATATTGGGAGCAACAACATGCAGTAGTACCCTATTCTCAATCTGGTCCGCAATTCGCTGTTAGGAGTAACAGTAAATTTCCTTTATTTATTTATTTACTTTTTTCGAAATAAAGGATTTTATAGCACAAGATAAACAGATATCATCTCAAATATATATATATATATATACATATATAAGATTTGTATTAATTTTAATACAAAGTTAAAATTATTAATATGAACTTTTTTTTTAGACAAAGATAATATAACTACATATACACGTCACTCCTATTACATTATGCTTAAATAAAAAAAAATGCCTTGTTACAATGTTTACTAGCTAAAACAGTTGAAGTGTCACAAGACTTTTTATCACAATATAGTTAGAATTTATTAACGAACAGAATAATCATTTTATCCTCCTTCTTTGCACCAAAAAAAAAAAAATAATCATTTTATGACGGAAGCAAATAAATTCCTTTATAAACTGCAGTTTTGGTGAGAAGAGTGTCGGTAACCCTCGTGCTAAATGAAAATGTTAGGTATATATACAAATTTTCTCGAACATGCGCGCGTCTCGTGAAAGTTTTTGTAGTTACTTACCACGTGAAAGTTGGACCAGCCCCCAAATCCCCTCTATCCAGAATAATACAATATTTTGTTTCGTGACTACCATAACCTAATCCTAATGAGTTTTTACAGCTTACAACGAGACACCAAATGTGAAACATACAACTTCATTTGTGTTACCTTTTCTAACATATACTATATATATATATATATATATAATGAGTTTTAAAAGCTTACAACAAGACACTAAATAAAACACATACAACTGAAGGAAAAGTTTGCGTTACCTTTTTTAACATACATACATATACATATATATATATATACATGTATATATATGTTAGAAAAGGTAAAGAAGGAAAAGTTAAATTCATTGAACCGGTTGAGTCCGATATTAAATTTTTATCTTGAGCACATCTGAAATTGTTGACATCTTAAATCAGGCTTATTTTTTGAACGTGAGACGTACGTTCATGACTTATGAGATGTACGGCCCTATTTATGTGCGGAGGAGGAGTTTAGCTCTTTTTTCCTTCAGCTTGTGCCTTATCGCTTGGAGTAGTTTTTAGTTTTTACTATTTCTGTATCAAAATGATAGTTGTGTAGATTTTTACTTTTAACATAATTTAAAAAATAAAGATCTAATTATTAAATAATAATTTTAAGAAAGTGAAAATGTTTATCCTCTTAAAACACATTTTTCTGTTGTCGATATATAGAGAAGATATTTTATTGAATTGTGATTTGTGAGCACGTATACAACTATAAGGCGAAAGCATGGCAAAAGAGGGCATGGAAGTTGCCATATTGGAACAATGATATAGAGTTTAATTTATTTGGAGAGGAAGAACACTGATAAACCTCTGGTCATTGCCGAATTTTCAGTATAATATACGAGTTATATAATCTGAAACAACAAGGTTGAACCCTAACATGTTTTAAAGCAAAAATTACGTGCGTAAACTTAATTTTTGTAACTCCTAATTGGGTTCTCGTACCATATCAAATAGTTTTTCGTAGTGTTTTTTATTTTCCGTATTACCTTAATCTTTAGTAACGAATTATTTTTAATTTCAAATTTTCGTGAATCGAATTTGGATTTTATTTTATTTTTTTAAATTTTATTTGCACAAAAGAATGGAAAGGGGTCACGACCCACGAGACACGATCATCAGCAATGAGCCTAACATAAAAACCATCATCCGTGATGACACCCCTTTGTCCCAAATTGGAAAAGAAAACAAATAGCCCTATTTAAGATAACACATGTTTTTGGATTTTGCTTCTTTGGGCATCCAATTTTTCCATTATTTCATCCATCCATCCCCCACTGCCGACAGCTAAGTCCTAGTCCCGTTCACCCCTTAATTTGTCGCGCTTCCAGATTTGGATCTATTCAATTAATCTCTTCCTAAATCTTACTGCTACTATTAATTGCCGTGATCTCCTTTAAAATATATTATATTTTTTTTCTGAATTCTTTCAATTCAGTGACTTTGGATCATGCAATTAGAGTATTATCAACCTCAATAATTATTTCCCTAAGTGGTTTAAAATATGTACTTGGTCCATTTCTTCCAAGAATGTTTCACAAAATTAATGTTATCATCACAATCTCAGCACAAGTGCCACTTGTGGGGATGGGTTCGTTGAGTACAAAGTACAAACCTTTTTTTCTTTTTTTTCTTTTTTTGAAAATACAAAGTACAAACCTATTCAACTTTGTGATTGGATTTTTACTTCCTTTATCAAATAATTGTTTTGTATATTACTGAAATTATTTTAATACGAAATCATAACTTAATTAAACAATCGTAAGTTTCCATTTTTTAAAGTTGGTTCAATTTTTTATTTTTTATTTTTTATAATTAGAATGGATATTTGATTCCAAGCACCAACTAACATACATGAGTTTGCTTTTTTCTCACTTTTAACTTTGTGTGGTGCTCCATCTAAAGTAGTTGTTGGAGTCTCCATGAATAACCAATGAATCCATCTGATATTTTCCAGTGGTTAGGATTATTTAGTCGTTTACCTAATTTAAAGGAAAAGGCAAGAGAGCCAAGGAAAATGATGGGATTAATAAGTGAAAAGATACAGAGTTTAACATATTTTTTCCACTATTCTTATCGTTGCTTTTTTGGAAATACTTTTATCGTTGCTAAATAAAAGAAGAAATGATAATGTCTATGTACTTAGTGGCTGATAAGAGAGACGTGGCAAAAGAATTAGAAGCTAATAATTTCTTTAAATCCAGAAAATCAAACAAGCTTAATGTTCAGTACATTTTCACTGAGTTACTCCTATTATTTTTGTCGAATTTCTTAAAACAATTATCTGATCAAGTCACACATGTCGCTAATTACTTCACTATTTTAACCCTACATTTTATGACCTTTTACAATCAAGTGACTGTAATTCTCCTTTGATCTTAAAAATTAGTACGGAAGTGGAAGGATTTTTCTCAAATAAATATTACTACTTTTGCCCTATATGTGGACTATTTCTTAGTAATATTATTTAAAACATAATGTGTTTAATGTAATCAAAAATAAATTTTGCATTTAACCTTTCAAAAAATAATTGCTTTATGATTTTAGCGCGATGAACTAATAATTTAGCGGAATAGGTATATATAGAGATAAAACAAAAAATAAAAGACGGTCTTGTTTGGACGTCCACTCATTTTACATTTTAATTCATTTTATCTCTTAAAAACAAAACTCAATGGAAAAGAAAACATCACCCATACAACTTTCTGATTTACATTTTAAATTCCAACTTGAAACAATTTTT